ACGTAGAGAAGTAAATATTAGGAAGGGAGTCAGGCAGGGATGCACACTGTCACCGCTACTTTTTAATCTATACATCGAAGACGCCATCAACATCATTAAAGACAGTACAGCTGTAGGGATAGACGTGCAAGGGCAAAAGATTAGTATGCTTAGATTTGCAGATGATATAGCAGTATTAGCATCTAGCAAGGAGGACCTAGAGATAGCTTTAAATAAAATGGAAGCGGTACTGACAAATCAGTACGAAAAAATGATTTCGAATTAATATTGCATATTAATCCACTATTACGTAACTAACAATGTCATAGGGTTTCATATATTTAATAACTTAAATATATTGTCATTTTTGTTAGGTCAAAATCATTGCGAACACCGTCGAATATGTTTGTCGTTAATTTGGCATTTTGTGATCTGATAATGCTCCTGAAGGCACCACTGTTTATTTACAACGCTTTTAACAAAGGATATGCTACCGGTCATCTGGGATGCCAGATATTTGCTACAGTCGGTTCTTTGTCTGGAATTGGTGCAGGAATTACCAATGCCTGCATTGCTTACGACAGATATACTACCATCACGAATCCTTTGGAAGGGAGATTGAGTGCTACCAAAGCCAGCTTTATCATATTTTTCATTTGGGTGTATACAATGCCCTGGGTGTTATTGCCGCTTTTGGAAGTGTGGAATCGTTTCGTTCCTGGTTTGTGTACTAATCTATTACTAATACTAATGTCAAGTAATTAAAAAATCCCATGTGACACAAAAGTGCACTTGGTAGAACGGCTATTATTATAAAAGCTTATGACTTTTTAAGGTTCCGTACCTGAAAAGGAAAAAAGGGGCCCTTACAGGATCACTTCCTTGTCCGTCTATCTGTCGGTCAATACCCTTTTTTCTCATGAATGCGTGGAGATAACAAGTTCAAATTAATATCAAATACTCAGGTCTAGTCTTGGGCGATAACTGTTCGGTTGTCGATAACAAAAAAATATCGATAACTGTCGATATATCGATAACTAACTATCGATATCTGCTTCGATATATCAACAGCTATCGATATATGTATTCGATAATTATCGATAGTTATCGATATATGTATTCGATACATTGATAACAATAAGCAACTGATACTATCGATATGTGTATAAATAAATATATCATTTTTAATTCGTATTGTTTCTAAATAAATCCGTGTACCAAGTGTACAGGTACCAACTATTTATTTTTTTAGTTATTTTTTCTTAGAAAAAATCTAATTTCAAAAATATTTAAAAAATTCCATGAATACCANATTAATATTTACAAGTGGCATTTTGCAATTTTCTATTTCCCACATTAATAACAGAAATTTTTCTTTTTTAATTTTGGAATTTTATAACTTGACAACAAATAGTTATCGATATATTCGATAATTATCGATATTTATCAGTTGCTATTATTGTTATCGACATATCGATAATTACTGATAACTATTGATATATCGATATTTTTGCCCAACACTACTCAGGTCTGCAAACCCTTGCAAATGAAACTTCTAAGTCAACGGAATCAAAAGATCTGTTGGTTATTATCTGTTGATTTATAACTTGACAACAAATAGTTATCGATATATTCGATAATTATCGATATTTATCAGTTGCTATTATTGTTATCGACATATCGATAATTACTGATAACTATTGATATATCGATATTTTTGCCCAACACTACTCAGGTCTGCAAACCCTTGCAAATGAAACTTCTAAGTCAACGGAATCAAAAGATCTGTTGGTTATTATCTGTTGATTTAGAATCATGAATTTTGGCAAGAACAGTGTGTTAGAGTAAAGAAAAAATCCGAAAACCGTAAATTTGTAGTTACATCACAAAAAAATAATTTTTTAACTTTTACGTTACGTTTTGGGGGACTAGTTTTTTGAAGGAAAACCTAAACCATACTCGAAAAAAGCAGAAAAAATCTTCGAGGCATCTACAAGTTTGTACAGAACCTTCGTTGCGCTGATGCAAAGAGCTAAAATCGTGTTTTTTTTTTTCAAAAAGAGTATATAATCTCAAAAATTACTACAGATAGATACAGGGAACTGTTAACGTAGTCGACTTAAAATTAAGCAATGAAACCAAAAATAAAAAATATACAGGGTGTTCTATTAAAAAAACGACGTTAGATAGCACCCTGAAGAAGTGGGCCATCTAGTAGGATTGAAAATATTTTCTGTATATGCACCGTACGATTCCAGATCACTTTTACAAAAACATATTTTCTATTAAATATATAGTAACAGAGTTAAAGACGCAAGCGCCTTAGGTGAAACACCCTGTGTAAATATAGAGGTTATGTCATTAACAAACTTAATTACGCGTATTTTGAGAACAACAGTTAGGAACAAATTGTAAAATAATGGTTATTAACTAACACTTTATTTTACAACTAGGTAATTATAATTATATCGAGCAAAAAGGGCTCCTACCATTTCATGAATTTTAATAGGGATTTCTTCTTTTTTTAATGTACTTGATTTACGTCAAACTTAAATTTAAATGCCGAGATTAATTCGATAGATCAATCAAGACTGAAACATTTTACCGAATTTATATCGACTCTTAATTCAAAATTTTTATCTACCTTTAAATTCTTGATGATATCTAGACTTAAAGCAAGTAGTTTTGCTTCATATTGCAATAACACATTTTGATTGTTTGTATGAGTCTATTTAACGTCTATTAGTAGAAATATTTAACTTGCTTTGAAAATGTTATCGAAATCAATTAAACCAACCTGTTCCTTCTAACCTATAAAACGAAATATATGATAGCGTTCCTCAATTTTCAAAGAACAATGTTTGCAGAGGCTTTTTCTGAAAATTTACTGGTGTTTTTATTTTATTTATTTATTTATTTATTCAAGATTAATAATGCAATTTGCCTCTGTGGGACGAAGAATAAGTTGATTTTGTGAATGAGTGAGAGAGAAGAAATAAAGCCTCGCAGGCTCTTAGATCCGCTAGTTTCCCATTACATTCATCTCTGTTCATTAATTTTTTTATCCATTTTACCGATATTTCACAAATTGGTTTCTTTTATCTTGTTTTTCGCTTCGTTATTTTTTTTTTCACGTTGAGATAATTCAAGGTGAAATATATTTTTTTTACTCCATTGTACCAGCGCCGTGACCAGACTTTTAATCAAGACAGACTAAAAGCCAAATTTTTCACGTTTATATTTCGAAATTTGGTTTTTCTGCCTCCGAAGAGTGTACTTACATAAAGAAAATCATACAAAAGCTCAAAAACATTTAGTTTATTTATAAGTATTTATTTAATTGTGGATACAAAAATAAAATGTTTGCTGGGACACATAGTAGAAGTGAAACTTCAACGAACAAGTGGAAAAACGAATCGCAATAAACGAGCATTGTTAACGTACTTGTCCAATTTGAAAAAATAAAGGCAATGATATCCAGTCACGTGGAGAGCAGAGGTAAGAAAACAGTTGAGCACAGCACACGCCGCTGGGACTCTAGCCGACATTCCGCTCTCCGCGCGGCTGCGCATTATATCCATCTAATACAGTCGTTGCTCTCTGCCCGCGGCCGTAATGCTTTTTCGTGACAAAAAAAATCATAATACCCCGTCTATATTGAAGTTTCACTTCAAAAAGGATTAGAAAAATTGCCTCGGCATGTTCAACCTACCCTAGCGTACCCCTGGCTGTGGCCCTGCAGTGTAAATAGCATAAGCTTTTTATTCACATGTTAGATAACTTTTTCGTTAACTGTTTCTTGATATTGCAACATGATAAGAGACAAATATGTATGAGAATTACTTTGTTCTTTTAGAGGGATTCTTAACAGCATGTTCGTTCGACTATCTGACAGACAACTTCGATACTCGTCTATTTGTAGCGAGTATATTTGTATGTTCCTACGTCATCCCTATGGCCTTAATCATATATTACTACAGTCAGATAGTAACTCATGTGATAAGACATGAGAAAGTGCTTAAAGAACAGGTAAAGTTTTCTAGTTGCAAAGTTTTTTTTGCCATTCATCCCGGCTCCTCCGCCAAAAAGACAAATTCATTCTTATAATCAAATGTCACACAGAGAAAAAATGGGTATGATGACGGAGATGTTGAAAAAACATGTCAAATATACTGATTAATGTAAATCTTAATGAAAATATTTATCCTCGGGTTAAGAATCACATCATTGGAGCCATTACAAAAGTAGTTTTGCGCCTCTTATCAAAAACTTCTTTTCGATGGGTTTACTATAGGTAATTTCTGTTTAATTCTGGCAAAAGCAACATACAGAAAGAAAATAAACAATTAAAAAACTTGCAATTCGGAATAATGAACAAATAGAGTAATAAAAATAACAAAATCAAAGTAGTTTTTCTATGTGGCTTCCTCCTACTTCTGTGCTTTTTCTAATTCTTTCGAT